ATGCACATTTCAATTTCACGTAATGCACAATTCAACTGCACATAATGTCACTCTATCGTACGATTTGTAATGCACATTTCAATTTCACCTAATGCACATTACAGTATCATCCAATGCACACTGAATCTCACTTGAAGCAAATCTAACGGTCCTGATTCGTTCTCATTTTTCTCATAAGATCGTGTTCTTATTTGAACCAAAACCTATATATATATATATATATATATATATATATATATATATACTACGTACGTATGTATCTCTTTTAATTTGTAAGGCTATGTAAGTGTGCATGTACCTTTAGGGGTCTAGAAATCTATAATAACTCTATATTAATAAAGGGTATAAAGGGGTAATTTGAGTTTGCACCCCATATTATTGCCTAAATTAGACTTTGCATCCCGTTTTTAAAAATCTTTGTTTTTGCACCCCAGCCTCATATGAGAAGACAAAAATGCCCTCAATCCGGAATGCGTTGAAGGTCAGCAGAATTGTTAATGGAGGGGCCGATCATTTTTATCTTTTCATATGAGATTGGGTGTGCAAAAACAAAGGTTTTTAATAACGGGGTGCAGAATCTAATTTAGATAATAATATTGGGTGCAAACTCAAATTACCCCATTAATAAAAGCAGAAATATGGAGTAATTAGATGATACCAAATACTATCGTATGAGATGCCACTCGAAAGTTTATTAAAGTAGCTATAGCTTATTCACTAGTGGTGTTTCCTCAGAAGACAAAGCCTGAAAGCTAAGCCATGCCTTTAATTTCCTCAATAGGAGTCGAACATTGCGCTCTAGCTTCTACTGACACGTGGACATTAGTAAATTGTACTCGTATATAATTGCATGAAATTGAAAATAAAGGTAGGCGACTCTAATCAATCTAGCCAAATATCAATTAATTGTTGTTAGCAAGAAATGTCATTCTCCTAGTTCTAGAAACATATAGACATTAACCATTCTCCATTATTTGGCACTTAATATATACTCGCATCACATAACCATCATTTTTACCCAAAAAAAGGAAACAAATGTAAAATAGAAAGATTTATTGAAATACTCGCAATTGCATGCATGCATATGAGAAGCTAGTACTGTGAATCATCAATCATTTATTACTCAGATCAAACAAAAGTATAAGCTAGATACCATTTGCTCTAGCAGTCTAGCTAGCTCGCTAATTAATTACCTAGCAAGAAGCTAGCTATGTTGGACTGAACACGAAATCTTGAGGAAACGGAAAACGGGAGACATCAACTTTTGCTAAAAAAAGACTTGTTTTGAGAGTTTGCAAAGAGTTTCTGTAGAGTTTACGAGAGTTTCCGTGCTACTCAGAAAGCTAGTTCTTGATGGGTAGAATTTACGCAATAAAATGTAATTGAGAATGAAGATGGAACTAACCTACCTGGCGCATAAGCATCAAATCTCTGAGATTAATTAGGTGAGAAATAAATGGAAGGAATTAGTTGGTTATGGGTTTCTGTCAAAAGCATTTAACCTACCTGGATACTCTTTAGTCTCTACCCACAGGATTTGATTGTTTTTTGACTAGAAGGCCGCGACATGGATATTACGGATGCCGCGATATGGACAGATTGCTACATGATTGCTTGGTGCGCTGAGGCATAGTTATCTTGGATGCTGAGGCTTGGGCACTTGGGACATCATGGCATGGACATAATGGATGCCGCAGGTCTTGGACTTTAGGCATTGATGTATCTTTGAACCTCTTGATAGGCCAAGTATTATACTTGGTTATTTTGGCATAAAATAGATCGAATACAAATCCCCTTTCACCCTCACATTATGTGAGGGTGGGGGAGGCGTTAGGAGATCTATAATATGTGATGTATAATTTTTCTGGGTGTTAATATATATTTACATTTCATCCAAAAAAAAAAAAAAAAAAAAAAAAAAAAAAGTGGAAGAAGCTTCATTAATTCATGCACATATAATATGGCTGCGCTGTCTTCCTGTTATCCACTCGTCAACCTAAGGTCCAATGGGCTGACTGGTCGACCGACCTTATTAGCTTGCCTGCTTCTTCAATGTACGTACGGGCTGTCATTTATTAATTAGTCCAGTTTTTATATTGCTAAACACCATACTCAGTATCAGTTAGTAGCACGCAGGAGTGGCCTACCATCCATGAGAAGGAATTGAAATGAGCGAAGCTTCAATGTGCTCTGCACGCATGTTACTTTAGGACTACCTGCTGGTTAGACTAACCATTTACAACTTCCGCGTAGGGGGGAGGGGAACAATGGCGGAGCCAGAAATATTATATATGGGGCCGAGCTTGAAAAACACTAGAGAAACTCGTTAAATATGACTAAAACATACTCTGTACTTTATCATAGTTTTGCATTTTATGTTTTTGTATTGTATTGAGCAATATCGATTTACGGCGTGTGATTGACGATAAATGTCTTGTACCGATCCCTGTTAACACTCAGATTATTTTAGTACGAGTAAATGAAATGCACATATTCAGAGACAACATTACAAATTCTACAAATTCGCAAAAAAAAATAAAATTTAAATTTGATAATAGTTGAATATATAAAGTACTTCGTAAGAGATTAAAAGTGATTTAAGTTGACCAAGTGAATAGTGAAGAGGAATTTCATTTTGAGACAGAGGCAGTATGAGTAGTGTTGAAGACTCGTATGTATATAATTAAACATATTTTGTCCTTTCCGATGTACTCCGTGTTTTGTTCTCCCTTCGATCCAATTTGATAGTCTCGTTGCGGATTACGATGTGTGACCGATGATAAAAACAAAGTCATCTCTGTCAAAACTCAAATTATTTGTGGTAAATAAAATTTAAAAATTCAGAAACTACATTAGTAGATGTTTTTCTGTCATAAAAAAAATTCAAATTTGATAAAGTGCGACATATAAAGTAAAAAATTAAGAATGATTTATGTTGATCAAGTAAATAGAAAACAAGACCATCAAATTAGAAGGAATCTAGTACTACCTCCATCCCATAATGGTTGTCTCATTTCAATTTGGCACGATTATTAATAAAGTGGTTGAAAAGTAAAAGTTGTGGTTGAGATATGAGTAGAATGAAGTGAAATAATATGTACTACAAATTTATTACAAAAAAGAGAAACATGACATCGTTTTTGGGACAACTCAAAAAAGAAAGTAAAACAACCAAAAATGGGATAGAGGGAGTATTATGCATATAGTCTATAGATATGGGTGCAAAGCTAGGGGTGAATAGGCTTACTTTTCGGCTTAAGCACATGCAACTTATAAACACATGCAACTTAGATATATAGTCTATGAATGACAAATTATACCGTGGGATTGGCCCACCATGGGCATGGTGTGCCGATCCCAAGACGGTACCGTTTTACGTTTAAAAAAAGAGAGCTAAGCGTCATTCTTATTTCCCAGCGAGGTGAGCTCTTTCCGACCCGTTCCCAGATCCCAATCGCTAGCTCCGGACCGTGAGATCTCAGGTCTGAAGCAGGGTCGTCTTTGGAGAATTTGATGCCCCAGACAAAAATTAGAATTAGATCATGCTATAAGTGAGTGATGTTTGTTTCACACAAAATAAATTTTATACTTCCTATAGAATAATTGACTAAAAAGTAGAAGAAAACTAAAATCAAATACTTAAATTATAGACTAGTAATTAAAAACATTATTTCACTTCATAGTGTCTATATAATGTTTCTAGGATAAACTTAGTCTTGTTTGTATAACTTGATCTCTTTGTTTCTTAAGTTTTATCTTTAAAAGCTCTTAGTTTTGCTTTGGTATACGGTGTCATAGACTCATAGTAAAAACTACTCCGTTTTTTAAAATTAAACTAAACTACTCCGTATATTAAATTAAATTGAAACATTTCAGCACCTACTATAGGTGATTATAAAAAAAGTTATTTAGGATGTTTTAACTTTGAACGTTTTCCAATCCCAAATTAGATCAGATCAGACCAGACCGGACTTAGATAGTTACTCCCTCAGTCCCAAATTGTAAGATACATTCACTATTCACTTGGTCAACATAAATCACTCCTAAACTTTTATTTTATATATCAAAAGTTTATGAAGTTTGAATTATTTTTTGCAGGTTTTGTAGCGAATTTAATGTAGTTTTTGAATATGTAAATTTTATTTTCTAGAACTAATTTGGGTGTTGACAGGGATCAATTTGCTTTATCGTCAGTCAAACATCGTAAACCGAAATGTATCTTACAAATTGGGACGGAGGGAGTATAAAATACACAAATCAAACATTTACCATATCAGACCAGTTCAGACCAGACCATACAAAAACAATTCTGTCCAATTAAAAACATTCTTAGTATATTCAGTAATGCATAATATTAGAAACATAATTTGTGATGAATAAATTTAAGAATATAGTTTGCAACACAAAATTAATAGAAAAAACTACTACGTACGAGAATATATTTTAAAGCACAAAACTAAATTTGAATATTTCAATTTCTCAATCGATTTGAAAATTGAAATTAAATTGAATATAAAATAGTCTCTCTTATAAATTGAATATTACCCAAAATGGGACTAAAAAAGTTTGGAAATTCCAAAATAGGACTTCCATGTTTTTATTCCCAAAATAGGACTAATTACTGTCATGTTTTGGCAGTACCAGACTTCAAACATGGCAGTATTTTTCAAATTTGGCAGTAATTAGTCCTATTTTGGGAATAAAAACATGACAGTCCTATTTTGGAATTGTTAAACTTTTTTAGTCCCATTTCGGGAACTTTCCCTAAAAAAAATACTACGTTTATATCCAGAAATTAAAACAAGTTTTGATTTTCCTTTAGTTTGTATATGAGATTATGAGGGCCTCGGTGAAATGTCATAAATTGACTGAGTCATAATTTTAAGGTCGCAAATGTGATTTGCCAAATTAGACTTTCAAGTGTAATTATTTATTACTTTCAAGGTGTTGATCGGCTCATAACACACGTTTATATCCAGAAATTAAAATAAATTGTGATTTTTGGTGTTTCTTTTTCCATTTGATTCATGCCATAGATACACGGTGGCAGCACCTAGCACATACGCATAAATGGATGATATACATTCACATAATAATACTCCATGTCGAATTGGTGCCCCAGATAACGATGAGGCCCTAGGCATAGGCCTATGTGCCTGCCGTCCATAGCCGGGCCTGGTCTGAAGTGAGGGTTTTAGATTTGCAATTGTCACCTGCCACGGTTGGAAGCTGTTGCATCCTTGCATCCTGGAGCTGCTTAAGGAGTGTTTGCTAATGCTTAATTTAAGCACTTCTCAGCTTTTAGCTTAAAAAAGCTAAAATAAGTGTTTGCCAAACTCTGCTTCTAATTAAAAAAAGCACTTTAAGGCCAAAAGTTAGAAGCTGGTGGATACCAACTTCTAACTGCTTTTAGGTATTCTTGTAATTAAAATGAATTTGAGGGAAGATTATTATGGCACACATTTTCGGCCAGCCCCAAAATGCCCTCCCTGTTTTCGTCACCAACTTTAATTTCTCTGCTTCTTGCTCCGCCATTTTAGACCACAGCCACAAGCTCTATCAACCGCCATTTAAGAACTATCGGAGTATCGGAAGCCCAAAAAATTCCAAGGCGATGATGATTAGAGCCCTCACGTGTATGGTTTAATTTACTTGATTTTTCGTTCTTATTTTGTTTGATTGATGAATTGGGTATTTTCTCTCTTTTGGAGATGGATTTGAGGTCTCGGTCTTTGTTTGCTTTTACTGGTGAAAGAATTGGGTAGGACTCTTTAATTGTACTCTTGATTGCTTCCATGAATCAAAAGCAGGGATAATTTTTTGATTTAAAAAACAAAGAAATTATAGAAACACACGTGGCTGATGAAACAAGAAAGAAAACCATATCCAGAAGGGCATATTCGTACTTTTATAAAACACTACATCAAAAATCACTTTTTTATCAAACACACCAACTTTTACCTTTTAATAAAAATCACTTCTATTTCCAAACACTATCTACTTTTACTTTAAATCACTTTTCCAATAATCTCTTAAAAAATCACTTTTAAAAAGCAGAAGCAATCGCAAACACTCCCTTAGTGTCCTCTCTCCTACCGGCACTGACGGGAACGCCACTGATTATGTTTTCTTTTATTATTCGAATTATTCAATAAGTTTAATTTGTTGTTTGAAGAAAGCCACAAAGGGATAAGAAAGCACAAAATACATTCAATCATTGTTCTTCTCAACTGTGTACACACACACACACACACACATATATATATATATATATATATATATATATATATATATATATATATAGGTTCATGTGAGAACTTAATCTTAGGAGAGTAAAAAAGAATAGATGTGAGCCATTTGATTTTGAAACTCTTCAATATTTCATTAAGGGTATATAAGAGAATTTGACACCACATTAAAAACTACACGGTTGATTACTTCCCTACAATCTTGCTAATATTTCCTTAACTATCTCCCTATAATTTTGCATAGCCAATCATGAATCATCCAATTTCTTTTAATTTGCTTTACGGTTCTCATATTTTTTTTTTTATCAAATTAGTTTTATTCAATCAAAATAAATTCTTTTATCTCATTTAATTCTTTCTTACCTTCATATGATCAAAAGAATTCTTTCTTACCTTCATTATTCTCAAGATGTGTGTTACGGAGAAGACATTCCTTTTCATATTTTGTTAAAATGCTCGGTCATTTCATCACCTTATGTTTAAATATGTCTTCTTTTTTATGTTTAAATGCATTTTCATATATTATTTATCCTCTAGATATTATTAAAAATTGCACTAACACAACTATATATATTGCACCTTTTAAGTATCATAACTGCACCACATGTCTATGTATATTTTTTTAGAAAGTGTTTGAGAATAATGCAGTTTTATAAATATTTAAATGCACATGTTTAAAGTGCATTCATTTGGGGTAAAAGTGACATGTAAAGATTTAAAAAGTGTGATATAGTAATGCACTTTTATATATACTTAAATGAACATAATAGTATATCATTGTAGTTTTACACCCACGTTTATTTATTTTCATTTTTTTATGATTTCGATTATTTTTATTATTTCAAAAGAAAAGTGCATTTCATTTTGTATAAGGGTCAATGTAAACTTTCGAAAAAGTGTGATATACTAATGCACTTTTTTGTATACTTAGTGCACATGATAAAAAATGCATTTTATGTTGTAAAAGAGTGTCAGTGTATAAGTTTAGAAAGTATGATGTAATAGTGCACATTTGTCTTATTCTAAATGCACGTAGTTGATAGTTTATTGTATATTTATATTAGTTTTTTTTTGCAGAAATGTATGGATGTGTCGAACTAAAATATTCTAAAAGTGCAAAATAATAACATTAAAGTGTAGTTTACAATACTCCAAATTAACCTAATAAACTTGTATTTCCCTGTAGGTTGCAAAAATATCTAAATATCTAATTAAATTGATGTTGCAATATGTTCAAATAAAAGTGCAAGTA